GGTGTAACGTTATCGAAGGTGTAGATTTCACTTTTTTGATTCTCATGGTAAACATTCTATTTTGCGTAATCAATGACGACGACGAAGGAGGATGATGATAATGAAGATGATGATGAAGAAGAAGGCACTCGGTCCCCTTTACGACGGAACTCTGTGCGCTATAATCGTTCGCAACTGACGAGAACGAGTATCCCGTATGACGACGTTCGCCGAGATTTTGCCAGGGGAACGGATCGAAGCGCTGCCAGTGTGTTATATCACCGTGAAACAATCCTCGCCCCCTAACCCTTCAACTCCTAATCTGTCCATTTCATCGTATTACAACCCGTGCAAACCTTTCCCGACCATCTCCACACGACCCCAGCGTTTAAGTGTTAAGTTTTGTTCGATAGGGCATTGGAGATGCATCATTGTCCACGCTATCGCGTTCGCTTCTCTCGTCGACGGTTCGTGTTTTCATGGCGAAATGCTCGATGCGTAAGGGTCGAGGATCGTTGTGCCTTCGATGTGCGCACGTTGCATACGTTTTACGATTCGTATGGAGGACAGACACGTCCACTTTTTTTTGTGATTCCGTACGTAGTTGTTCAGTGTTTTTTTTTTATACTTCTCTTAATGCTTATCTAGGATAGCTTGTGTACCCTAAAGAGTGTTTCAATAAAATTGACAATGAAATCAATAAGGGTCTGTATCGTTCATGATCCCATTCCCTTTTAGAAAAATAGTTTCAGGTTACAATTATAAAGGAAAAGCTTGGTTCGGTTAATAGATCGTACATGAAGTTTGTTTTACGTTGTCGAAAACTTTGTTGAGAAACTTGATCTTAAATAAAAATATTTAGTCACAGAAGTAGCTGGATCATAGCGTAATATGACTACTATAATACTAAATCATTAATAATTTTTTTCAATATCATTTGCCTTTGTTATTAACTCCTTGTCCTATAATAACGAGTCAAATTTGTGATGATAATTTTCAATCGAATCCCGCAAATCTAAGTGTTATTTAATTTTTCATACAAATGAAGTATTACTTGTCTATTATCAATCTTTAACCTTTAAAGAAAATGTGGACACAGAAGTGTTATTTACTATTCCAATTGTGACTTAGTGTTCGAGTTCACTATTAGCATGAGTATTGTAAATATATATATATATATATAGATGATAATAAATGTACTTGTGGCACCATCTACAACAAAATGCTCAAGCTATAAGAACAACTCCACAAACTTAAGTCTGAACACTGTCGGTATAGAATTAAGTACAGAGTTACCTATACCTTTGATCTGCTCTACAAGGTTGATGATTTTGCTACGGATGGCGCCACCAGAAAAAGAAATTTGCGAATCACACTGTAATCACAGCGAGGATACCTCGAAAATGGTAAGGGTTACTAGTAACCCTGACAACGTGTGACAAAATCTTACGTTGCATGTTATGTCTATCCTATACCTCGTCTGTGATGATAGTGATACTATTTTTGGTATTATCGATATTCGAGTATTCGAGTATTGTTTTTTTAGCGCGTTTATGAGCAGTGGAATTCGCGAACATGGCACCGCAGTACGAAGTGGTATTGTGTCGCGGATTGTCAGAACAAAATGATTCGCAAGAGGCTTACGTAAATTCATTTAAAACCGCAGGTTATACGTGCCATGTTATACCTACGTTATGTTTCAAATTTGTGAATACGTCAGAGCTTCGAACATGCCTTCATTTGCCGGACTCGTATTATGGTACTAGCTTTTAAAGATTTCATAATCGGCGAGAAATGGTATCTTTATTATTTTTCATTCTAATTGTTTAAATATGTATTTTGCTTTATAGGACTGATATTGACGAGTAAACGAGCAGTCGAGGCGATCGATCTTGTATCCAGAGAAGATGATCAGATCTTGGTACCTTGGAAAACACTGCCAGTATACTGTGTAGGGCCATCGACTGAATCTTTTGCTAAAAGTCACCTAGGTTCTGAGAACTGCTTTGGCAGTGAGACAGGCAATGCCAAAGAATTAGCTGAATTATTAGTTGCATCTGTTACGAAAGGGTCAAAGCCTCTCTTATACCCTTGCAGTGAAATTGGGAGGGAAACAATAGAAAAAAGACTTGCTGAACACAGTATACAAGTCAGTAAGATAGTTGTGTATAGAACTTTGCCAAGTGATACATTGGAACATGATTTATCAAAGTTCATGGATAATATATGCAGAATATTTGTCTTCTTTAGTCCCTCTAGTGTAGAGTTTGTAGTAACATTGTTAAAAAGGAAATGTTATGATATGATCAATGTAAAAGCAGTTGCTATCGGACCTGTGACTAAGCAAGCGTTGTTAAATGCTGATTTACATGTTTTTGCCACTGCGGACAAACCTGAACCCTTTTCTTTATTGGAAGCTATTGTGATTGCTGAGAGTGATGAAGTTAGAAGAGAGACTGTGTGAAGAGATTGCTGGAATGATGTGAGTGTGGTTTATTGTTGTCATACGCAAGAGTCTGAATTTTGTTAATTCATGAAGACTATATTAAATTCTGTATACTATAGAAATTGGTTTAACACTTAGATTAAAGTTATACATTGTAAGCTTGACTTATTATATAGTCTTAATGGATTACAATATTTGTCAATATTCTTTTGTTATTTATATTCATGGTATCTTTAGATCACTTTTTAATAGTTTATTAAAATAAGAATTGTTACAATCAACCATTTTAAACAGTTGACAGTTGGAAATTTTACTTTAATTACAATAATAAATACAGGTTTCTAAATAAACAGATTAAAAAAATAGGCTCAACCTATATATACAATACATTTCTATGTGAATATGACATAAAGTATAACATTGTATTGTTAAAGAACAATTGAGATACAGTTTGAAACATATACTACTTAAACATAATAGGTTTTTAGACATACAATAGAAAAACACAGATTCAGTGTTGTGCGTATCAGTCTTTGCTACTAATCTCCATTGGGTAGTCTATAACGTTTACAAAATATTTATGTGTGAATGATTATTAAAGAATACTGAACTCTGAAAGCACTTATAATATTCACAAAGAATTCTCGCAAACATTGTCGTCATTTTGACTGCAATGTTTAAGTATAGTTAAATTGATAACTGAAATATTGCGATACCTCTTTGTTAGAATAACTACTTTTCTTCTGTACAACATTTATCAATAGAATTTCTAATACATATAAGAATTTAATATCTACTTCGGTTAACAACATTACCGAGAAGGCACGAGAGATCAGCACCAACAATGGTGGACTGATTAGCGTAATAAGGCTGTGGGGGGTTTCCCCCGTTATTATATTTCATTTGAACCGCGGTTTCGTAATCCGGCGCGGGTCTATAGGAAGGAAGTAAGGCACGTAAGTTATTGATGTCCGTCGATGATACTGACACCACAGGCGGATATGGTGATGTTGATAGATCATTGTAGCTTGTCCATCGCGTGTGTCCTTCAGCATTCCGCGTATCCAGATTTACGGACACCGCATGATCACCTGAGTCATTGGTATCGCTATCCTAAAATACAGTGTAATTTTTATTAAGCCCCAAATTTAGCGAACGATTATGCACAGGGTGAACAATACTTACAAAATACCCGTTAGTTGATCTTTCTAATGGCCGTGATTCTTGATGTTGCATATAAAATGTGTGTTGCGCAATGCACAAGCGCCACACATATTTTGCATTGCGAGACTCGCTAAATATGAACTGCTTTGCTTCTTCACCCTCCGCTTGGCACTCTATTCTGAATGTTTTTTTGTGATTTATGACATTACTTATGTCTTTCCACCTAGAGTACAATAATTTATTAGTATAATTTTCATGTCATTTCTAATGAAGTCTATGTGATATTACCTGTAGAATTGTGTTGTTTGTGTACTTGGATAAACAACCATAATTCCATTGATAGAAATTCCTAATATTACTTCGTTATTGCCACTGTCCTATTATTTAATAAATAATTATTTAGGAATTCTTACAATTTTAAAAATACCTTTATACAAGTAAAGTCGTACCTTAGTGGAGAATGTTTCATTACCATATCCTTCTAACTGCATAACAATAGAAATATATAATTCCTCTGATGCAGCTTGAGTGACACCAATTAAATTCTTGTATTGGCATACAGCAGTATGCAATAAAGAATCTAAGCCTCCAGGATCAGACTGAATAACATCCTTAGAAAGAGTGTTAGGTTAAAATTAAATTGAATAACTTCATTGAAAATTTCTAATGAATCTGTTCAATTACTTTAGGAAATAATGTGCATTGTTGTAAGCATTCCATCGTATGTCTTTCAGCATCATAGTTACCAAATTCTGCTTGCATTGAATAACTTGCTAAAAGAGTAGCTTGTCTAGAATTGCAAGGAAATCTTCCTTCCAACACATCACTCTTTAGTTGCAGATAATAATGGTACCTTGGAACACAGTATGTGAGATACAATAGTATTAAAGCATAATTGATTTTTAAAGGTGTAAGTCAATGGTATCTACCTAGTCATCTCATCTTGAATAAGTTGCACATCTGTAACATAGTACATAACTCTCAAGTAGAGACTAAAATTTTTTGCTTCTTTCTCAAGTTGCTTTTTTAATGGTTTGTCCATGTCCACCCATCTTGGAGATGGAGAATCGTGCCGAGAAATGTAACGAAGTCCAAAAAATTCTGGTTGGCCCAAGCCTAAACGTTGAGTTACATTGTCCAAGCACTCCTGGCCTAAACTATCAATGCTCAATGTGCATTCAATGGATGTTGTATCCAACAGCTCGACACAGATTACATATTGGTTCTTTGAAACCACATTATATTGCCTACTTTTTTTTAGGTGGAATTTGAATGGCATTTTAATATTTTGATTGTCTAAAAAATAATAGAAAATTGATTTGGAACTATAACAAGTTATTAAACATAAAGATTTTTATATTATCACATATTAGGATTATTTTTTTAAGCTTAATCAGATAATATTTGACTGTGTATTTTATGTATTCGTTACATACTTGATCACTAATTATTACAGCAAAATGTTTAACGGAGAAGCACTATTATGACAGAAGAATCAACTATGTACTATTATTACAACTGTTCGAAAAGAGTAAATATCGCATCACCGTGAACAAACACCAAAATATCTTGCATTCCATGGTACTTTTACTTTTAATTGAAATATATGTGCATACGCGCGGCGTTTGTATTCCACTCTGTCAAGCATGAGAAATGTATTATTTTTCCCCGATTAACAAATCGAGAGCATTTCTAACCTCGTTTCTCACGACATTAAGGCTGCTTACAAATTCGCGACGATTGGTTTTTCCAATGATTACTTCACTTACAAAAATTATAATGGCTGAATTCAGTCGAAAAAAGCAAGAAACATTCAATGAACATAAATATTGAAATTAGACTGATTATTTAACACGCATAATACACCCACGTCAAACTACTTAACCTCCCCACTTTTAAAGATACAAGAATCTCTACCTGAAGGGAGAAGCTCCTACGTCACTAACGAAAGATAGGACAGACTGGACATCCAATGTAAATTTTTGTCACAACCGTGGTGTTACATGGCCTCCTTACCATTCCAGTGTCACTTGCAATATTACCAACAGAGTACAAATAAATACAAACACAGACTTCCGATACATATAGACGTTGCAACTTATGGAAATTTTTGTCTAGAGCTTCGATGGCCTCGGGACCATTTTACCATTTCCCTGGCGCATTTGATGTTACCGATAATACAAATTTTTAAGTTTATTAATAGAAATCAAATTAGAAATACATAGAAATTAATATTATAAATATTAAAATTCTATATTAGAAACTATATTAGAAATTAATATTATGAAAAATAATTTCCATTAATCCTTGAACATAAATATTTTTATAAATTGATTTATCCTATTAGTCATCATACAATGTAATAATTTATATATTTATAAATGCCATCTGTCATCAATTGATCCTAAGAGAATGAAGAAGGGTTAGAGCTAGAATCGAGGTAGGTAAAGTAGTTGTTACGTGAAATTTTTTGTTTCTCACAGTAGGCAGCGCCAGATGTCTTTATTACTAAACTGCAATCAACGTAACTTATTGTTAAACAATTATCGGTAAAATAAAGTTATGATAATCAACTCTTCAAATTTTGTCAAAGTAAGTACATATGTTCTCTGCAAAAATACGTAAAAATGTTTATGGAATATATATAGTTTCTGGAATTTTCCAGAATGGAATGACTTTTTTAACTAGATAGTCTATTCCGAGTAATCATTAACAGATTACAATGCAGTCAGTATCAGTTTTTTTCGCATCTTTCTGAACGATGACAATTGTTTGTATTGTTAATTATGAAAGTATCAAGTATTGTGAAGTAACGAGAGGCGCGATGGTAAAATAAAATCCCTAGAATGTTATCAATATTACTTAAACTCTTTAATCGTTGTGCCATGTGGAGAATGACTAACATTCTTATCAAAACTGATTATGCACCATTTCATGTGAACATCTATATCTCGTCTTATCGAGGACATTAAAAATGTCGCGATAAATGTTCACGTTCACGAAATTCGACGCGCTGAAGGTTTCACCTAATCCCCATCGCGATTTTTCACGAATAATTAAAAATCTTCCAAAGAAGATAGTTCCATGGACGAATAACGAACCGCACGAATATTTAACATAATAAATATATTTCGTAACAATTGATAAAGTACGATCACGCGCTAACATTCATCACAAACGATACAACGTACAACATCTTCTCAGATACTCTATATATATAAAATACTCTCTGACCAGCTAAACGAGAACTTCTCTTTCTTCTAAATCGAGTAGAACTGTAACGTGGCCGTGGAAGACTGCATCTCGATTTGCCCCATTTTGAACTGCAGCCGGTGCAGCCACCTTAAAAGCGTCGCGTTAGACTCTCGCTTGGACGAGACGAAACTCTCCGACGCCATCTTGCTCGGTGGGAAGTCCCTGCAGTTCTGTAGACGCACCTGCAAATGACCAGGCAACTGGTCGCAACGAATTTTCACGTTAAAACGAATCGACGTGAATTATTTCGAAAAAGTTTCACTCATCAATCAACCTGTACATGATGGGAATATAAAATTGGGCTCCAAAGTGGTAGTAACTTGCTGAGCAAAATGGAGCCACACTCGAGAAGAGCTTCTAGTAGACTCAGAAAATGTAAATTCACCATCTCGGCCAGCTACAAATACATGTTTCTCGTTAGAACAATCAAGAATTCCTCCAGATTCTCCTTCCTTGACGAACAAAAATGACTTACTACTCTCGAATAGCTAACTAGTTGCAATATGCAGGGTGTTATTTTCCCCCAGAACTCTAACAGAATGTTCATCGTGACGTTGTGACCCTCGCTGTTCGATGGGTTGTTCTTCGACAGTTCCTCGAGGTACATGGTCCATAGCTAGACAATTCGTTAATGAGCCAAGACCGAATATTAGTTAGGGTAATCAGTTATCGGCTTACCTGGCAGAGTATGAAAGCGTGGAACAAGGAGGACATGTGCAGAACAGACGTCTTAGATTCTTTGGACTGTTCGGGGAATGTGGAGAATATCACTTGCACGTGATCGGCGACGTAACAGGACACTTCTTGAGGTATCGGTTGCGCTATTGGGATCGATGGCCCGTGGTTGTAGGCGTTGTAGTTGCCGGAGAACATGGCTGTGTGCGTGAGGGAGCCCAGCAGGAGCCACGACAGCAGTCTGATGTGTCCTATGCAGTCCACGTACTCGCGGGCTCTGAAGAACCATTGATCTTTATCATGTCAGTTTCATCCTCTTTGAAACTTGGCAAAGTTTTAGATTCCCTATAGTCTCCAAACAAAATAACATTCGCGAATACATCGGTACCATTGTTTATCTACTCTTCGAAATCGTCAAAGGCCCAAAAACGAATTTGAATAAGACCACTTCAAACACAATCTCGATTGCTTTAATTAACACATTGGATGCCATTGAGGCCACCGATGACCTCAAACAAGTCGAATTACTATAATTTATTCAATTGAATGATTATTTGGAAACTTTTCTGTATTACTAGTAATACTACTTAATGCAGTGACATTGAACAAGATCAACCTACAATAATAACACATTTCACTTACATAATTTGATGTTAGATTATTTTCATTTTGTATATTCCCCTCGGTAAAATCGCGGGACTCGATGTGTTACTGTAGACGCTTACCCTTGCTGCATCATGGATGGAGCGGTCGTAAGCCACGGCAAGTGTCGAAGTACTGCTCTATTTTCCCTATTACTACCCCTCGAAATCTCCAGCGCCACGTACTGCGCCAATCCGCATTTCAGTATCCCACCCAGGGTGTCTTCGTTCAATCCTGCCTGCATCCCTTTGCTGTAACTCTAATCAGCCAGCAACGCACGCGTGAGAAATGCTGAACTCTTTGCACAGCTAGGAGGTAGCGTATCTTCGTCCTCACCTTCACTTTGCTCAAGGTGTGAAAGTCGGCTAGGAAGTCCAGCACATCTGTCAGCTGAGTCTTCAGAGACTCCGAAGCGTTCGTATTGTAAATCGGTGATATGTCGGTTTGAATGTTGTCTAGTGCGATTGTGTTAGGCAGCGATCCTCCGATGTCCTAGACATTCCATGTTTCAATCTTCACTTTGCCGGTCATTCGTTCTCTACTTTATTGCATTACCTGAAGCACGAAGTGCAAGAGTAACAGGAAATTAGTGTCGGGTAGGGTGGTCTTGAATTTGATGGCCTGAACTAGCTCGAACACTATTGTTCTGCCAAAGGAGTGTTTGTCCCTATCTCGAGTGAAGCTTCTGTGGCAGAGGTGGCAAAGATCTGTCAGGTAGCTGTACTTTATTGTGGAGTTCTGTATGGCGTAACTCAGCACTTTAGCGAATGGGTCCAGCATACTCTGTGGAAACATCATTGATAAGTCAATCATCGGTTCGGAGTACGGAGTACTTCTTCATTATTTGTCTGTCAGTATCCTAATATGGGATCTTCCAATTGCTCTGCTATATTAGTTAGTAATATAATTAATAAAACAGAAATAATCGATTCACTTTGTATGAACTCCAGGCTCATGAATATTTAACCCTTACAAAGAATTTACAATGAATACATAAGTTTGTTCTATGGTCGAGGCCCAAATAAAGTAATTCTGTACAGCTGAAGAATCATAAAACAAAGGGTTAATCATTCATTTCGCGAAGAGTGTACCAGCAACTACCGGCAGGCGAAGTGTTAACAGCGGCCTTCGCGGCGATACACCGTCGTGAAACCCCGTCCTGCCGTAAAGTCGCGTCATAAATCTTTCCTGAACCATATTCGGATAGCCCTTCGTCATCGGAGATCCCTAATCACCGTAATCATTAGCTCAGAGGCTCGAATAAATCTGCATTTATGTGCCAAGGGGCAAAGATTGCCATTACGATGGAAATTATTGCGAACTACGGTGTTATTTACGATTGCCGGCTCCGCCGAGCGACCGACCTTCGATTGCTGAATTCCTGGGACCTTCAGTAAAGAAATCATGATCCTTAGCAGAGGTGTGGTGTCTTCGATAGAGGACAGCATCAGCACCAGCCTTCGAAACAGGTTGTCGAATTGCGTTAACAGGCCGCTCCAGGTCGTCGCACCTGGTCCAAGACCTGCCTCCAATGGCAGACAGTCCAGGTAGCAGGCTATGTTGTAGAGTATCACCGGCAGACGTTCCGTTGGCAACGACTTTTTCGCGTTTAAGGCCTGAAACGAACGCCATCAGAATATTCTTACACCGCGAACAGTCACTGTGTCGTTTATCTCCGACAGTAAATAATTGATGTTGATACAAATTTGTTTCAGATCTTATTCTTCGATTAGTGATTACATCAAGATCCGGTCGAGAGAAACCAAGAAAGGAATATGTCTTCGGTAAGTACTAAAACACTATAAAATATACTTTACAAGAGAACCTACCTCGAGTAACAATTGCAAAGGCGCAATTGGATTCAGTTCGTTGAAATCGACCAAGGCCTGAGCGACGCTCTTGAAAAACTGCATTCTCGTGGATTCTGCGGAAAGACAAAATGAACAACCGGTTCCTATAATGATTAATCCTCACGCTGCGAAATTCGATTGCAGTTAATCGTTGTTGCACATCTGTTCACTGTGAAAACCTTGGTACATGCGTTATCAAAGTTTCTTTCTCTACTAAAGAATCTAGAAATTGTGAACATCCCTTTTCAATGATATCATGTCAATAGATCAAAAGCCAAGGTAGACTAACGTATTATTAATAAGTACGTAATTACAATAGTTATTAAATGAACACGACATTGTTCCTCCTCGTATCTTCAAAAACAAGCTAAAGATCAAAGAATTCTTTCTCGTTCGGAATGAATATTTCTGAAGAACACTCGAAGAAACGAATCGCGCAGCGTGGAGGTTAGTTTCCGTGCAATCTACCATTCAAATGCGTCTGGAACATCTGTATGAATACACCGTTAGGCGCTAGCTGATGAAGAACGCATCGCAGGAACTGGTGCGCCACGCTGATAGCCCCGCCCGGCAGGTGCATGTTGGTCTCGCTTTGCCAGGGGTACATCGCGTTTAGGGCCACTCTGCGAACGTCGTAAAATCATTTAAAGACCCTGTAAAATCTTAAACAAACGTTAACGATAGAATTCCGACGAACTTGGTCACTACTCTTAGGATTTCTGGTAAAAGTGGCGCAGCCAGGGACGGTTCGCGATGAATGAACGTTCCCAGGTTAATGATGCAGAGGCCGAGCTCCTCGTCGGAATACTCCTCCTTCAGTGTTCCACATTCCGAGCACCTGTAAGGGAGCCGCAGTTTTATCTAACACCTTCGCTGCTAATCAGTTCCGCGTAATTACCTCTCGTAAATGCAGTCATCGCCAATGCGAAACAGGCTGTGCTTCATGGTCGAGTCAGCGCGATAAGGTTGCGAGACGTTGTCGAAGTTACTCTGCAATTGGGGTCCAGACCTGGAATTAGTCGCAAGCTAAGTTGTGGGACGGAGGGTATCGTTAATTACTTTTAATTCGACTCGTCGGTTTTAAACGCTGTACGAATATTTCGTGCAAGGGACAAAAAGTTTTAAAAATTTGTTAACTCTGCACTCGAGGGGCGACTCCCAGTCGCCAAATGATTTGATACAGCAAAATTATAAACTTTGGTATTTACCATTAACCTTCGTATACTGCATAAATACGTGAAATATTGAGAGAATAAATCTAATTAACTATAGAATATTTCAAGTGAAAAACTTTCGAGTGCAAAGGGCTAATAACATCAAATCTGGACGAGATGGATAAACTTTTTGAAATATTCCAAGAAGCATACCGTATATTGTAAAAACATAAATTTTAATTTTAGCAATTCCGAAAATTAAACATTCAATGAAAAAATACTCGTTACAGACGAGTGACGTTTTCTAGAAGGTACCATGTGTCGGTGTGCCTCGTAGTAGGCCCGTCAGGCATGTTGAATGGTGGTGCTCTCCCTGAATTGTCGCGTTGAATCCGAACATGCTCCTTCATCTTCGCCTTTCGATCATGTTCGAAGGACTCTATAGTCATCGACGGTGATTCCAAGGCTACTTGCTTAGTCAATCTCCTCGGGCTTGTGGACCTGCTCGAGTGGACCTCGTTCGATGTCGGTATCAACGATGCTGACTGAAACGTAACGGTCTACTTGAAACCTGTCCCACCTTTCGAAATCCTTGTTCCATTGAATCGGAAAATCTACCACGTTATCGGACGCTGTACTGTCTTGCTTCACCGGCAGCGATGCAGCATCTTTCCCTTTGGCAGTCCCGTTGCTGAAGATGTTCGAATCTGACCAAAGAGACGATCACCGAATCTCAGGATCGATTCTTTTCAATAACCACCTCCGCGATTCTAAGATACGAAAGTTACCGTTTATCTCGTGAAGATTGAGCGCCTGATGAACATGCTTGACCAAAGTACTGAACTCGCAAGTGCCCTGCGACCCGACCGGCAGCAATCGTTCAGGCTTCGGTAATTCCAGCTGAGAGATGCTTCTGGGACTCGCGGTGTCGCTCACGCTGGTGCACGTCTCGCTGTTCTGGTCGAACGACGAACCTGGCGAACATGTTGTCCGCATTCCGTAATTAGCATCCAACTCTCGTTCGCCACGTCTCTAGTACTTACTAACTGTCAGCACGTCCATCTTGGACAGCGGCGACTCGGGGGATCCGTAAGTGTCCTCGCAGCGCAGGATACGTTGGGTGGGCCTGGGACCTGGAAATCGGAACAGCGGTTTCTAGATTATCTTCGCAGTCCGTAGAGCCTGACCACATCTATGAAGCTTCATTTTCGACTGAATTGTTGTTGAAACCTGTGATACTTCACATATATTAACCCTTTCCTTTCTGCGAGCTTCTTCGCGGATAAGTTTTTCGTGTAAGTCTTTAAAACCATCGAAACTCGCGGAAGATTACTTAATATTATACTCCCTAACATCCCCAACAGACTAGTCTCTAATAGACTTCATTAATTTTCATAGTGACGAACGAACATTTCTCTCTACTAGGGCACGATAACACGAAAAAGCGAATGCTTTCGTGTGGATGTCGACTATAGCCTGCGCTTGTAGCGAAAAAGTTGAAGTAGATGTATTAAGTCCTGTTCACATTGTAGAGTAATATTTTCTCATGGTTTCATTTGAAAAATATCTAGTTAGATCGGGGGTGGCCAAACCGTAGCGCATTTGACGATTGCAAGTGGGGCATTGCATCCTTGTGTCTACTTATTCTTAAGAGCTTCAATAAACGCGTGTCTTTTGAACTCGCGTAAATTAATTTAATTGCGAGATTGAGTCATTCGTTTCCCCCCCTAAGCGAAGCAGATTCTACCCCCATCTCTATTTTCCTATCCCAACCGTAAGGTCAAAGAGCTGCTTGAATTGTATGTCGTATCTAAACTCGTCTTCTGGGTTAGGTATATCTGCTACTGATTCTGGCTCATAGGAAATCGGTGATAGTGTTACCTGTAGGACGACTGGTTGTGCCGATAGGCAACAGTCTCTCTACAGTGGGAGTTGTTAACGGCTGAGGAGTGTCGATCCAGCTAGGATTCTGCCCGTTCTCGGTGCTGGTGATCTGAGAGGAGATCGAGCTGACCGCTGGTGAACTCGACTGATCGCTGCTCGTCACTGTGACCACCTGACCCGGGGACACCGGTGAAGCTACGGTGACTGTCTGTTCTATACGCTTCTGGCGGCTCAAATGCTTCGAGGTCGGCGAGTCGGAATTGCTGGAAGCCGGCAGCTTCTCCTTCGCTGGCACGTCTTGTCTACGATCATTCCGTTAAATTCAGCTTTTCCTTTGTCTAGGGTGACTTGGATTACTAACTCTGAAGCGATATATCGAGTGAAACTACTTCGTGTCTACGAGATGCAACGAGGTTAACACTAAAATTATCGAGGGACTTATCTTAAATTCTTTTAATAAAAGTTAGAATAGTACGTTTCTTTGTATCTGTACAAATACACGAATTTCAGTTAAAATCTTTTGTTAAAACGCCCTTGTAATTTAAATGCTTGCTAAATAACATTTCTGCGGTGGGTCAATTCAGTGTTAAAGGTAGTTTCCGTGTTAAAGAAATGGCATCTGCAATAATCCTTAATCTTTCAGTTTCTATTTCCACTAAATGGTATCCGCCTAGATCTTAATGGATGATGATTTCTTTGTTCAAATCGTAGATTCTACCGTCATCGGAAAAGTCGTTAGATTTGTAAATTGATAGGTTGAGCGTTAATGAGATCAAGTCATTACTTTTGAGGCAGAGGCGTTGATGTACTAGTAGCAAAAGCTGTAGACATCGGGAAGGGCTTTGATGACGCGGTCTCCCCGTTGAAAGCTACTTGCACGGTGATGTTTCTTTCTTGACTCGCTTTCTGCCACACTGGCTTCTCCGTGATCGTTCTCTCGAGGATCCCCTTCTCCGGCGTCGATTTCTCCAGGAATTTTTCCGACAAGGGTTTCGCCTGGCCAGGCAGGAATGAGCCCGTCACCATCATCTTCACACCCTCTTGGACGCTCCACTTCTTCTGGGTTCCTTTCGATGTCTGTCGATCGAGAAAACAAGCATTATTCAATTCGTAAAACTATTTCGATTATTAATTCGCGTTCAAACCGAAAGGAGCCACGCAAATGATGAAACAGGCGTCGTTTCGTTAAATACATTAGTGCCAATTAAGGACTATACGATTCTACAGTGACCTTCTAGATCCAGTAATTTCCAAGATATTCATGTTTAACAGTAGAACTGTCGAGCAGTTGAACTGATTTTTAAACATTCTTTTATAGAAACCATCGAAATGCGTTGATTAAGATGTTGTAACCCCTTGTCCTATAATTTATTTCTTAACCATAATCGATACAACTACTTTATCGTTAATAATTTATTAAGAATACAACAAATTTTAATGCTTATTCTACGTCTACGTTTACTTCAAAGGTTAAGATTTATAATAGAAAAGTAATATTTAATTTATATTTGAAGAATGAATAACACTTAGATTTCATTAATTCGATTGAAAATTTTCGTCATGAGCCTGACACGATATTGCAAGTCAAGGGGTTAAGTTATATTTTAATTTATATATTAATAAATCAACTATTTCAATCATTTCTTGAAGAAGCATTTATCTGCTTTTAATTATTATGAAAGAATAAATGAGGAATGGGTCATTTTGACTCATCTGGTAGTTCTAGAGTCAAACAGATAATTTACAATTTCAGGCATCACTCGCTCCTCCTCAATACAAATCATGTACAATTAAACTAATTTATTTTTTCATCATTTTCATATTTTCCATAAAAATTT